CCCAGGACACTCTCCAAGACCTGCAGGTGAGTTTAGCCCTGGCCCCTGCTTTGTGTGGGTCCCTGTACATGTGAAACCTTGTGTGCGCCTTCAAGAGTGGAGTCTCTTTCCCTCAGCCCTGTGGAACTCCTGCATTCAAGGCCCACTGGCCTTCAAAGCCAAATGCTCTAGCTTAAATCCTCAGGCTGGGGAGCCTGACATGTGGCTCGGAACTCACTCCTGTGGGACAACCTCTGTGATATATTTTCCAGTTTGTGGGTTGCCCACCCGGTGGGTATGGGATTTCATTATATCATGAAAGCACCCCTCCTACCATCTCGTTGTGGTTTCTTCTTTGTCTTTGGACGTAAATATCTTTTTTGGTAGGTTCCAGTCTTTTTTGTCGGTGGTTGTTTAGCAGTTAGCTGTGATTTTGGTGTTTTCATGAGAGGGTGAGCTCAAGTTCTTCTACTTTGCCATCTTGTCCACAATCAAGGTGCTGCTTTTAGTTTGGATTCTTTATGCCTCTTTCCTCAGCATGTGCTGGCTGTTATCCCCTTGAAATGGGGGTGTACAGGTGTGGTGGCCTGTGCATGCTCCCAGGATGGCGCGTACAGCAACCTGCACCTGTGCCCACATCTCTTAGTGGAGGCGGCTGCCTGCGTACTCCCACAACAGCAGGGGCAGTGATTGGCACCTGTTCTCATGTCTCTTAGTGGTGGTGGCAGCTCACACACTCCCAGGACAGTGAGGGCAGTGACTAGCGTCTTCTTGTGGGTCTCAAAGCAGCAGCGGTGGTCTGGTCCGTGCACTCATGGGACAGTGGGGGTAGTGATTGGCACCTACTTGCAGGACTCTTAGCGGAGGCAGCAGCATATGCCCATCTCTGGAACCCAGGATGGCATTGGTGGCTTACACCCGCCCCTGGAGCTCATGTAGATGGTGTCCTGTTGCCTGAGAGTGAACTCAAAGAAAGAGGCTCCTATGGAGGTCCCACTCCCACCCCTTTCCCTTGCACCCCCAATGGAGCCTTGCCTCTTTGGTGGGCCCCAGCTTCTTCCGAGTGTACCCTCAGTTGCCACACTCCAGCCTCTTCAGGCTGTGTCCGCACAGCCAACTGTGGTCCTCCCCCAGGTCTGAGCTCCAAAGCCTGAGCTTCAGCACCCAGCCCCTGCCTGCACCAACGGTTGAGCGTCTGAGGCTGAGGAGCACAGGGTGGCAGTACCAACCACTTCTGCATGTCATTCTTCATTTTGCCTACAGCAAACTGGTACACTCTCCTCTGAGGCTCCAAAGCTACTCTTCCATCCAGGCTGATCTCCCCACCAGTGAGGACACTTCCCAGGGTGCAGGAACCTGTCCTCCTTCACAGCTCCATCCCTGGGGCACAGGTGCTATCCCGATTCCTTTCGCTCTTCTTCTTTTGTCCTACCCAGTTACGTGGAGGTTTTCTTGCCCTTTCGGAAGTTTGAGGTCTTCTGCCAGCGTTCAGTAGATGTTCTGTACAAATCATTCCACTTGTAGATGTATTTTTTATGTATTTGTCGGAGGCAGTAAGCTCCACTTCCTGCTCCTCTGCCATCTTGATCCCCCCTTAACACAATTTTGAACAAAAAATTATAAGACATTTAATGAAATAAAGTATGACCCATAAACAGTAAAAAAAAAAAAAAAAAAAAAAAAAAGCAATCAGTAGAAACAGCCTCTGAGGAAGCCCAGATGTTGGACTTAATAAACAGAGGCTAAATTGAATCCATAGCACTTGGTATAGACCTTTGCACAATAAGTAACTCAATAAGTATTTGCTGAATGAATGAATACAGGAGTGCATGAGGAAAGAGTTATAATACAAAATTAAAATGGAAAAAAAAGGAAAAGTAGAAAATTTTAAAAGTCAGTGAGCAGATGGGTTTTCAGGGGAAGAAAGCCTTTTAAGCATAGATTATTTGTATATCCCTGTACCAATCCACACTGTCTTTCGTCACAAAATTGTGTAAGAAATACCTAATAGATATCTTCCCCCACCTTGTTTTTCTTCAAAATTTCCTTAGCTGTTCATGTGCTATGCCCTGCCATATGAGCTTCACTGAGAATTACTGTCAAGTTTCATGGAAACTTCATGGGTATTTTAAGTGAAATTGCATAAAGCTAATATTGTCATCCTTACAGTATTGAATATTCCTGTCATGAATGTGGCATACTCTCCTTTTATCAGGTCTTTGACCGTCTTTAATGATGTTCATTAATTTCTCATAATTGTCCTGCACATCTTTTATTAATAATTATTCCTATGAACTTATTTTCTGTTGATATTGTTTTTTATTGATTTTCAACTTTAATGAGATATAATTGACATATAACATTGTGTACATTAAGATGCACAGTGTGTTTTTGATACACTTATATATTGCAATATGATTACCACCATAGTGTTGGCTAACACCTCCATCACATCAGATAATTACCATTTCTTTTTTGTTGTGAGAATAAACTCTACTCTCTTAGTGTTTTTTTTGTTTTGTTTTGTTTTGTTTTGCAATATGCAGGCCTTTCACTGTTGTGGTCTCTCCCGTTGCGGAGCACAGGCTCCAGATGTGCAGGCTCAGCAGCCATGGCTCACGGGCCCAGCCGCTCCGCAGCATGTGGGATATTCCTGGACCGGGGCACGAACCCATGTCCCCTGCATTGGCAGACAGACTCTCAACCACTGTGCCACCAGGGAAGCCCCACTCTTAGTGATTTTTAATAAAGCAATATGGTACTGTTAACCATAATCACAGTGCTATGCGTTAGGTACCCAGAACTTATTCATCTTATAACTGGAATTGTGTACCTTTTGACCAACATCTCCCCAATTCCCCTACCCCTCAGCCCCTGGTAACCACCACTGTATTCTACTTCTACAAGATCAGCTTTTTATGATCCACATATAAGCGGTATTAAGTACTATCTGTCTTCCTCTGTCTCACTTATTTCATTTAACATAATGCATTCAAGGTCCATCCAAATGTCACAAATGGCAGGATTTCCTTCTCCTCATGGTTGAAGAATATTCCATTGTATGTAGTTATATACACACACAGCCTCTTCTTTATCCACTCATCCATTGAGGGACATTTAGGTTGTTTCCGTGTCTTGGTTATTGTGAACAATGCTGCAGTAAACAAGGGAGTGCAGATATCTTTTCAATATCCATTTAACTGCCTTTGTAAATATACCCAGATGTGGAATTTCTGGATTGTATGGTAGTCCTATTTGTAATTTTTTGAGGAACTTCCATACTGTTTTCCATATTGCCTGTACCAGTGCACAAGGGTTCTCGTTTCTCCATGTCATCACCAACACTTATTATCTCTTCTCTTTTTGATGATAGCCATTCTAAAATGTGCAAGATGATAACTCATTGTGGGTTTGATTTGCATTTTCCCTGGTTAAAAGTAGTGTTGAGGGCTTCCCTGGTGGCACAGTGGTTGAGGGTCCGCCTGCCGATGCAGGGGACGCGGGTTCGTGCCCTGGTCCGGGAGGATCCCACGTGCCGCGGAGCGGCTGGGCCCGTGAGCCATGGCCGCTGGGCCTGCACGTCCGGAGCCTGTGCTCCGCAGCGGGAGAGGCCGCAGCGGTGAGAGGCCCGCGTACCGCAAAAAAACAAAACAAACAAAAAAAAAAGTAGTGTTGAGCGCCTTTTCGTGAACATGTTGGCGATCTGTATGTCTCGCTAAGAAAAATGCCTATTCAGGTCTTCTGCTGATATTTTCGATTGTTTTTACTGTTTCTTTTGCTGCACAGAAGCTTTTAAGTTTGATGTAGTTCCACTTATTTATCTCTGTCACTCGTGCTTTTGCTGTCATTTCAAAAATAATCATTGCCAAGACCAGTGTCACAGAGCTTTTTCCCTGTGTTTTCTTTTAGGAGCTTTATGTTTGCAGGTCTTATGTTTATGTCTTTAATCCATTTTGAGTCAATTTTTGTGAGTGGTGTAAGATAAGGGTGCAGTTTCACTTCTCTGCATGCAGTTATCCAGTTTTCCCACTAACATTTGTTGAAGAGACTATCCTTTCCCTGTTGAGTAGTCTTGATTCCCTTGTCAAATATTAGCTGATGTATCTATCTATTCTATTCCATTGATCTACATGTCTATTTTTATGCCAGTACCATACTGTTTTGATTACTGTAGCTTTATAGTATAGTTTGAAATCAGGAAGTGTGCTGCCTCCAGCTTCGTTCTTTGTCAGGATTTGTCTATTCAAGGATTTTTGTGGTTCCACACGAATTTAAGGATTGTTTTTCCTATTTCTGTTAAAAAATGCCATTGGAACTTTTTATAGGGGTTGCATTGAATCTGTTGATAGCTTGGGGTAGTATGGTCATTTTAACAGTATTATTCTAATCCATGAAGATGGGCTATCTTTCCATTTGTGTCATTTTCAATTTCTTTCATCAAAGTCTTATAGTTTTCAGTGTATAGATCTTTAATTTCTGTGGTTAAATTTATTCTCATTTTTTATGCAGTTGTAAATGGGACTGCTTTCTTAATTTCTCTTTCTCATAATTCATTACTAGTATATAGAAACTCAGCTGATTTTTGTTTATTGATTTTGTATTCTCTAACTTTACTGAATTCTTTTATTAGTTCCAACATTTTTTTGGTGGCCTTTTTAGTTTCTCCATATAACATCATGTCATCTGCAAAATGAGACAGTTTTACTTCTTCCTTTCTGAATTGAATGCCTTTTATTTCTTTTTCTTCCCTGATTGCTCTAGCTAGGACCTCCAATACAATGTTGAATAAAACTTGCCAGGGTAAAATGAGCTTCATTGGTAGTGTGCTAGTGGTGGTATAATGCCACCACAATGTTAAGTATGTAACAGTCAGGCTCCTGTAGCAAGAGACCACAATGATTTAAGAAAGAATTTTATTGGGAGGTGGTAAGGACTGGTAAGGCATCCTGGTATCAGATTACTAGGCTCCTTCTATCGTGTTGCTTTGTTATATCTAGGGTATTTTTTCTGTATCTTTGAAGATTTACAGTCCTGCCTTCAAGAAAGAGGAAAAAGAAGGAAGGCACACTCTTCTTATTTAGGTACAACCCAGGAGTTGTTACACATCACTTCTGCTCGTATCCCATTGGACAGATCCTGGTCACAAAGCTACACCTAACTGTAAGAAAGTCTGGGAACTATCTTAATTGAGGTGAGCATACACCCAGCAAAACACCTATAACTAAAAGCAATCACCACTTAGGGGGAAAGCTACAAGTTCATCTGTTACAATGAATTTTGAAGAATAGTATTTAGAAGAAGCAATAAGCAAAATGGGGGGACAACTTCCTCTATATAATCCTCATATGCACAGAAATGGAAATAATTTAAAAACCCTATTCAAAAATAATTCCCAGCTGCATGTAATGTGGCTGTCTGAATATTAAGAAATTCTTCCAAGTGCATTATATTTCCAAATACACTTATCATATATGATCTTTCAGATACTATGCTAGAAAAGGCTGTAGCTTTATAAGTTGCCATCTCCTTTTAAAATATATTTCGAAATTGATATGAAAGATTATTTGTGCATAGTGATAAACTTTAGAGAATACAATATTAAAAATATAGTATAAAGATTACTCATTATATTGGGGACTTCCCTGGCTGTCCAGTGGTTAAGACTCCACACTTCCACTGCAGGGGGCACAGGTTTGATCCCTGGTCAGGGAACTAAGACCCTGCATGCTACACTGTGTGGCAGAAAAAAAAAAAAATTATTATCACCCAGAGATAACTGATAATATTAGTCAACTTATTTCTTTTTCTTATGCATATATTTAACAAAACTCAAGTCATTTATTTATCTTCCTTTTTGTTACCCAGTGGTATATTGTGCCTACATTCCCATGTCATTAAACACCATTCAAAAGCCTGAATTTTTTTATGTTATCTTCTTCCTAAATGCCTTATTGGTTTTACTATAAAATCATGGTACCATTGTACAAGTGTATAAAATTATACCTATAGATGATAAAAGCATGAAAGTTAAGACTCTCTTATACTTAAAATCTCATTATTAATATTTGAAGTTGTGGTTAACTGTTTACCTACATTGTGGTTTAGAAGCTATATTACTTGTTTGACTTAGATGTATTCATGCCAACCTAATTTTGGCTCTACTTTACCTGTCTTATGTTAATTGTGTCATGATGTCAGTTTTGACCTATACCTTCCCACCTCTAAGCATCTTTGTCGAAAGACATAACCCTAAACCCTTCATAATTATTAAACCCTTCATAATTATAAGTGCATTAAAGACTAACTGCTTAGCTGCAGAGATCTATACAAGACTGTATCACTTGTATAACTTAAAAGAGACTTAAAGTTTTCAGTAAAATTCCTAAGAATGCATGATTATCCAACCTTTGTTACTTTCTGTAGTGACATAATGTTGTCAATCACACAATGTGACGTATTAAGTAATATCAATTCTTAATTGCCTTACATATAGATTTTCTCTAAATTAGGTATTGATTTTGAGGTCAAACCTTTCTATCATTGAAATATTTAACATGTTTTTGAATTCTGAAATACACAATATTATGAAACAAGGTGTCATCTTTTCAGGACTCACCTAGTCATAAATTTACAGTAACTTAGCAAAAGATAACAATAATCTTTTCCTATGGAGAAAGGTGCAAACATTAAACTATTTGGGCTTTCCCCTACTTTTTCTCCTTTTCAGAAAGGAGTCAATGTCTCAAACCTTCTTCTCTGACTTACTTATTAGTTAGACTAGTAAACTGTGCTGATACGGGACAGAATTGTTCCCAGTTACATTTTCTGCAAGTAAATAATGAAGAATTTTGCCTGAGGATTGGTATGTTATATTAAGAGTAGCTAATGAAACCATGAAGATAAGACTAAATGGATATGTGCTAACTTGGCTAGTATGGAGTACAGCAAAAAAATTTTGTATCAATAATCCTGAAATGTGGATAGACAAATAGATTCATGCAGTACGATGCTACAAACTTTAAGATTACTAAGGTGGCAGTCAGGAAAGCTGAGTTCTAGTTTTAGTTAAACTAGTCAAGACTAACCATCTGACATCTTAAGTCACTTTTTGGGGGTCTCAGTTTGCTCAACTATAAAATAAGATATAACTAGAAGAGTCTAAGTATTTTCAGCACTAAAATTCTATGTATATGATGACATATGATTAGAACCCAAATTAAAACACTACAAAATTCTAGACAACATACAATGAAAAAGAAATCATTTATGCATATCCACCTAATAGTACAAACCCATACTGAAAAAATAAGTTTGAATATTCTCTTAGAAGGTGAACTGCTTTATTCAGAAACACTTTTGGGGACTTCCCTGGCAGTGCAGTGGTTGAGACTTCGCCTTCCAGTGCAAGGGGTGTGAGTTTGATCCCTGGTCAGGGAGCTAAGATCCCACATGCCTCATGGCCAAAAAAACAAAACATAAAACAGAAGCAGTATTGTAACAAATTCAATAAAGACTTTAAAAGTGGTCCACATCAAAAAAAAATCTTAAAAAAATACTTTTGAATTAAATCCTCTTAAATACTGCCTTTAAAAGACTTTATGCAGAAATTTACTCTAGCATGAGACGTAACATCAGGGTGTCCAGGCAAAGGAGCTAATACAGAAACTGAGGAACTTCTAAATAAACAGAATGATTTCACATATATTCGCTAACAAAAGTCATAAAATTATTGAACTTTAGAGCTGAATTTGGAAGTCTTACAGATATTTTACATGTATTAAATTCTCTTCATAATGTGTCAGAATTTATATCAATTCTTCCTATATTCTTACCATGTCCCCAAGATGTCTCTTTTCACAAAAGAATTTGTTATACAGTTGGTATTTAAAGTTTATGAGTTAAAATCATGCATCTGTCTTATCAAAATTTAGTATGTTTACCCGTTTTTAACCATTTTTATAGTTCACAAAATGGCTTCACGTAACCATAAATCTGTATTCTCAATGGGAGTAAAGGAAGAGTCAGGGTTTTTCTAGTGACTTACATCCCTTAGGCTTAAAGAAAATAAAATGCCCTTCATTCCCAGGTCTAATCATCCTACAATTTGCTACGGGGTAGAACTCAGTTTAAAGCCGATCTACTTCAGCCCCCACAACAGACATACATACCTACAAAACTTTAAAGAAATACAGATGTCAGGAACTCATAAAGTATTCCAGTGATGCACTAGGGCTGGCTCCTGTGGCATTCCAAGTGCCAATTAAGGGTATCTCTTCCCAATTCTAAATTCAAGGACATCATGTTGGTAGCTCAAAACTGGCCATGGTAGGAATAATTTACACCACAGAAATCAAGAAACTGGTTGATTTTGGGACTTTTGTTTGGATTTGGTTTTTGAAGAGCTGGTTGTTAGTCATTTAACAGCACGTAACTGAGGTAATCCCAGGTTATGGTTCCTGAAGCCAAGTGTCCACTATCAAAGAAAAGACCTATAACTGGTTCCTTATTCAGTTCCTGGAACTGAATTTTTAACATTCATATATCCTTCTCCAGATGGATATAAGAGGGAGTAGGGTCCATATCATACATAATTTGTTTGTCTTTGAACCTATATAGCAATGTTGTCCAATAGAAATACAATGCAAGCCACATACCCTTAAATTTTCTACTGTATGTTAAAAGTACATCTCAAATTAGATGTTAAATTTTCATCAGAAATACTTTATCTGTATTTAGATTTCATAAAGTTTTCAGTTGAAGAAGTAATTTCATGTACCCAAGTTGGTCCATACATTCTTAAAAGTTTTACAATTACTAAACTGAGTATCAGTTTTTTAATTTAAAATTTTTTAAATAAATGAAATTAAAAAATTTTTTCCTCAGTCTTACTAGCCATGTTTGAAGAGTTCAATAGCCACACTTAGTAGTAGTTACCATATTGGACAGCAGCTGTACAGCATCAGCACCTCGGGGGTTTTCCAGAAGCTTGAGCCTTATGCTGTGCTAGCTTGATGAGTGGAATCAAACAGATTATTTCACTTTTCGGTGCCTCAGTTTTCTGAGACAATAATAATCTTAAAGGAATAACCAATCAATAATTATAACTAATAATAGACATTCTAATGATTGCAATAATCATGAAATCACTCACATGATATAGCAGCTGCCACTTGTGGCATGTCAGCTTATTTAAAAACCAGCTCATCAAGCAGTAGCTCATTTTGAAGAAGAGCTTAACCTTATTAGATGTTAGTAGCTATAAATGCTAAGCATTTATAGAGTGTTTTTCACCTTTAAAGGGCTTTACCAGTTGTAGTTAATCTTATAACATAATAATGTATCATTCCTGTTAGTGAATTCCTGAGGTCAAAGAAGGCCTTTCTGCATAACAAAAACCTTCAATCTACTTGTCATATACTCTATACTACAATGTATAATTAAATCAAAGTGTTACGTTGAACAAGACAAAATATTCACTTTAAGTAACTTTTCTGATCCTGAGTACAATAAATTAATCTCAACAGAGAAAAATGGTGCTTCTATTATAATGTTCATCACTTGTGTATTGTCTGTGAAACAAGAGTCAAGCACAGCTTTCTTGATTATATAAAAAAGATTTTTAAATCCCATTTTTATGGTACTTAACCTCTAAACTGCCATCAGAAGTATAGTAACACCATCCATTTTTATGGGCTTTCCCGTTTTCTACGTGCTTACCTGCATCATTTTATTATCTCAGCAACCCTAAAAGATAAACAGGACAGATGTTATGCCCATTTTTTGCATGAAATTCAGAAAGGCTGAGTGCCTTGTTTACATAATTACATACTCATCAGTGCAACAGCTAAAGCCAGAATTCAGGTCTTATGATTTTAGCCACCATTTATCAAATACATACTATAAACTGGAGAATATGTTGAAGACCATGCATTATCTCATTAATGGTCACAGTAATCTTAGATGAAGTATGATGCAGAAAGATTGTTACACATAAGTCCTTTTTTCTCAAAGCATGTGTTTGTAACTTCTCTACTGTGCTGAATCTAGAAATGGACTATTATCAGGGGAGGAGAATAAAGGAACCAATCTTCATCGAAAATAAAAATTACTATATACTAACACATGTTATTTACCCAGCATAGTGCTAAGCTCTGCAATTACCGTCATGTTTCACATTTATAACAACCAACCGTAAGAGTTAAGTATTAGTTTTCCCGTTTATAAGTAAGGACAGAGACTCAAAGTGACAGAAGCAGAATTTAAAACCATTCCTATTTGACTCCTAATCTCATACTCTGAACCACTTTGCCATTCTTTTTTATTTCAAATCCACTGTAATTTCCCATATTCCTTACTGCCTAATGTTACTTTTTACTTATTTTTGAGTTGTTTTGCTTTTTGTGGGATTTCTTTTTTGGGGTTTTTTTGGGCATTAAAAAAAAGATAGAAGGTTTTCTTTGTCATCTTTGTTTACCATATTATCCTAACAGTGCCAAACACGAGCAGGTACACCATTTTCATAGCATAATGCAGGAAAATAGCTTTGAGCAGTGTGTCATACAATCTCTATAATAACTTTGAGCAGTGAGCTGGAAGATTATAGTACTACTGTGGAACTGAATTTCTTTACCTTAGCCTTTGAGCTGAACAGTTCATTCACCTATTCAGTGGTAAACTTCAGCAATTTCTCCAAAGTTAAAGGAAATTGATTTGTTCATTCAGTGAGTATGTTGATTTAAAGATGTATTTATAATAACAAAATGAGATAGAGGCATTATTACAGTAAATTTGCTTATAATGTAGCTAATATTAGTGGAGACCATTAAGTGTGGGTGAAGAGTGATTGCTTCAGTCAGAAAAATTCTTTTTTCCTACATTACCTGAAATTCTTATGAACTTCTCATTTCATGTTGCCTTAGTAATCAGAAGTAAAAGTGTTTAGATCTTCATAAAACTTTTTCATAACAAATGGCATGTTAACCTAAGCACTGTAAATACTTCGGGGCAAATGTGTTAAAATTCAGTTAGTTATTTTTTCTTTATTTTCTAAATTCCATAATTAGATAGTTACCGTGTTCCTGGTCAGACTGCCTCTAAGAAGGAAGTAAAACAAGTTTGTGCACATACATTCATATGCAGGGTCAAAGGTGAAGACAAAATGTGAAAGAGAAACATGTTGTTTCTAGTAAAACTCTTTCCTTATCTACAATTAGGTGTACTCATAAATGTATGCACTATAATAACGTGTAGAGGTGACTGTTTCATTATTTTTAAATAAAATTTATAGTTTTTATAGGTAATAGTCTAGATATTTGGAATGCATTCATTTAAGCAGAAGAAATAGCTGGCAAATGTTTTATGTCAGGTGGTATGCATGCTAAGTTTATAACCTTTCTTCTCTTTATCCAATGTAAGTTAACTTGATGTGACAGGGTGTGATATATCACAGAGATGACTCAGGTCAGGAATTTCAAGAAATCTTAAAAATAATATCTTTTAAAAGGACTTAAGTAAATAGTACATAAAGATCTGTAGAGTATATAGTCTTTTTTTTTTTTTTTTTTTTTTTTTTACCCTGTTATCTATCAAAGAATTGAGTTCAACTGCTTAAACGTTTAGGAAAGTCTTTTACTCAGAAAAAAGTAAATATTTGCCAATTAGGGTAGGGGAGAAATCTCTAGGTTCCTTTACTGTTAGAGTGCCTACCAGCAGATACATCTGGTTATTTAGAATTTATACATCTATTTGTTGACCAAAAAATTCAGTGATAAATTTATGTTTCCATCACCTGCTTTTCCTTTTGTTCTGAAGCCTTTGCAATTATATAGCTGTCATTACAAACTCCTGTCCCAAAGCATGGGGTTTCAACAAAGAATATGGTTAGATCACAAGATTTGCTTCTAAAGGGCTGAATTTTGGTTTTATCATAGGAAAATAAGTGTGTACTTCAGTAAGTGGTAAAGTATGACATACATTTGGAGGAATGTACATACTGTAAGTTTTCAGCTCAGTAAACATACCCATATAACCATCCAGATAATGGAAATGAACTTCATCAGCACTCTAAGACGACTCCCTTGTCCCAACTTCTCATGCCTGCAAAGGATAAACATTTCTGACTTCTAGTACTACAAGTCAGTTTTATTTGACCTTGTAAGAGAATCATCTGTCCTTCTCTGGAAATAGGTTCACTCATAAATATATGTACTTTAGTAATGTATGGAGATGACTAGTAGGGTCTTTTGGGCAGGGTTGAGGTCTGACTTATTTCACGTAACATTACTTTTGTGAAATGCACCCATATTATTATGTATATTATTCCATTGTATATAGCAATATATAACAAAATGTAATCATTTTGTCACTGATGGATATTTCAGTTGTTTCCAGTTTGGGGCTTTTATAAATGTTCTCCTAAATATCCTTTGTGACTATACCTATCCATTTCCGCATACATTCAACTTCAGTAGATACCTCCAAAGATTTATTCAGTAGCTGAAACAATTTACATTTTTGTTATCAGTACATGAGAACTACAGTTTAGCCTCATCTTTGCCAGCAGTTGTTATCCCCTGCCACCATTTTACTCATTCTGAAGGGTGGATAGTGGTATTACATTATAGATTTAATTTGTATTTCCCTGATGACTCATGAAACTGAGCATCCAGTTATATGTTTACCAGAAATTTGAGTATGTTTTGAAGTGCCTGTCAAGACTTCTGATCTTTATTCCACTGCATTATCATTCTTTTTTCTTATGATTTTTCAGGAGTCTTTTATATAATCCTGACCTATTACTGCAAATATTTTCTACCACTCTTGGGTTCCCTTTTTTGCTTTTTTAATATTGTAATTTGTTGAGCAGAAGTTTTTAGTAGTAATATGCTACCTTTCCCATTTTTTTTCATTATGTTGATTACATTTTGTGCCCTGTTTAAAACAGTTTGTAGAGATATCTTATGTTATACAGAGATATCTTCTGTTTAAGATCTTTGTCTTAACTTTTAAGTCTTTATTGAATTTGTTACAATATTGTTTCTGTTTTATGTTTTGGTTTTTTGGCTGCAAGACACGTAGGATCTTAGCTGTCTGACCAGGGATCAAACCCACACCTCCTGCATTGAAAGGCAAGTCTTAACCACTGGACCACCAGAGAAGTCCCTGTCTTACCTTTTATATTTAGATCTATAATCCATATGGAATTGGTTTTTGTATACACTGGGTATTGGTTTTGTATACACTGGACAGGGTTTTAAAAATGTGTGTTTTAACCAAATGGATATCCGCAAGAACCAGCAGAACTTATTTAAAAGATCATCCTTTCTCTATTGCACTGCAGTGGCACCTTTGCTGTAAATCAGGTAACTACACTATATTATCATTGTTTCAATAACTGTAGATTTGTAAAAGGTCTGGGTTTCTGGTTATGTAAGTCTTCTAGCTTTGTTTTTGTTCAGAATTGCCTTGACTATTCTTAGTCCTTTGCACTTTCATTTCCATTTTATAAACAACTGTCAATTTACACAAAAAATATTGTTAGGACTTTAATTCGGTTTGCATTGAATCTATAAAATCACCTTATGAAGAACTGACATCTTGAGAACATTGAGTCTTCCACATGCTATATGTCTTTCCACTTATTTAATTCTTTACTTTTTCCTAATATTTCATAATTTTCAATGCAGAGGTTCTTAAATTTATTTCTAAATATTTAGGATATTTAAGCTATTGTAAATGGCATATTTTGTTTCATTTTTTGTATGCTTTTAAAAAATATAAACATAAAATAAATCTTAGTATATTTGTCTTATATGAACTGATTTAAAAAAAAAGAGACTGAGCAATATACATAGAGCATCGAGAGGGAAATAAAGGGCGGCTCATGAGGTTACTTGAGAGAGACTATGTTTATGTTCCTTGAAATCAACAAACAAAACTAATAACCAAATTATAGTGGTCCTTGTCTAGTAGTGGCCCATACCTGAACCACCTGTGAATTGGTTTCTGCCGTCTATCTGATCTCTGGTTTTTCATTGGTATGATCTTCTCTCTTGGCTTTGCCAGTTATTTTTACTGAATTCTAATTCTTGATTTCAAAAAATTATAGAGTCATCTATAATGTTATATTCCTCTTTCCTTTTCCTCTGCTAGGTAGAAAGAATGACGGATGACAACCTTAATCAAATCAGAGACTGTGCTAAATTGATGCTGGGTTGTAATTTTGATAAAATTCAGTCTACCTCCAGCCTTCCTCTGTATCTATAATGTGTGTGTGTACATACATATACAAAGATATATATAATAATGTTATATGTATTCTGTATTATATAATTCATGTGTCACTAAAATGGAAGAGATAAATATTTTAAAATTTTGTACAGATTTCTATTTCTCCTTAGATGGGATACTGGTGTGCTGCACACTATTCCACCCTACCTGAAAGCAAAATTTACTTTTTTTCTTTACATATTTTTTAATTGAATTATAGCTGATTTACATTGTTGTGTTAATTAGTGCTGTAGAGCAAAGTGATTCAGTTATACCTATATATACATTCTTTTTTTAAATATTCTTTTCCATTATGGTTTATCATATGATATTATTTTTTTACATCTTTATTGGAGTATAATTGCTTTACAATGTTGTGCTAGTTTCTGCCGTATAAGTGAACCAGCTACTTGTATACATATGTCCCCATACCCCCTCCCTCTTAAGCATCCCACCCACCATCCCTATCCCACCCCTCTAGGTGGTCACAAAGCACCTAGCTGATTTCCCTGTGCTACGCAGCTGATTCCCACTAGCTATCTATTTTACATTTGGTAGTGTATATATGTTAATGCTACTCTCTCTTTGTCCCAGCTTACCCTTCCCCCTCCCTGTGTCCTCAAGTCCATTCTCTATCTCTGTGTCTTTATTCCTGTCCTGCCCCTAGGTTCACGAGAACCATTTCTTTTTACATTCCATATATATGCGTTAGCATACAGTATTTGTTTTTCTCTTTCTGACTTACTTCACTCTGTATGACAGAATCTAGGTCCATGCACCTCACTATAAATAACTCAGTTTCGTTTCATTTTATGTTAATATTCCATTGTATATATGTGCCACATCTTCTTTATCCATTCATCTGTCGATGTACATTTAGGTTGCTACCATGTCCTGCCTATTGTAAATAGTGCTGCAATAAACATTGGGGTACATGCGTCCTTCTAAACTATGGTTTTCTCAGGGTATATGCCCAGTAGTGGGATTGATGGGTCATATGGTAGTTCTTAGTTTTTTAAGGAACCTCCATACTGTTCTCCATAGTGGCTGTATCGATTTATATTCCCACTAACAGTGCAAGAGGATTCCCTTTTTTCGACCCTCTCCAGCATTTACTGTTTGTAGATTTTTTTATGATGGCCATTCTGACTGGTGTGAGGTGATACCTCATTGTAGTTTTGATTTGCATTTCTCTAATGATTAGTGAGGTTGAGCATTCTTTCATGTGTTTGTTGGCAATCTGTATATCTTCTTTGGAGAAATGTCTATTTAGGTCTTCTGCCCACTTTTGGATTGGTTGGTTTTTTTTTAATATTGAGCTGCATGAGATGCTTGTAACTTTTGGAAATTAATCCTTTGTCAGTTGCTTCATTTGCAAATATTTTCTCCCATTCTGAGTATTGTCTTTTCATCTTGTTTATGGTTTCCTTTGCTGTGCAAAAGCTTTTAAGTTTCATTAGGTCCCATTTGTTTCTTCCTGTTTTTATTTCCATTACTCTAAGAGGTAGGTAAAAAAGGATCTTGCTGTGATTTATGTCATAGAGTGTTCTGCCTATGTTTTCCTTGAACAGTATTATAGTGTCTGGCCTTACGTTTAGGTCTTTAATCCATTTTGAGTTTATTTTTCTGTATGGTGTTAGGAAGTGTTCTAATTTCATTCTTTTCTGTGTAGCTGTCCAGTATTCCCAGCACCATTTATTAAAGAGACTGTCTTCCCTTGTGTAGTCTTACCTCCTCTGTCGTAGAATAATTGACCGTAGATTTGTGGGTTTATCTCTGAGCTTTCTATCCTGTTCCATTGATCTATATTTCTGTTTCTGTTCCAGTACCATACTGTCTTGATCACTGTAGCTTTGTAGTGTAGTCTGAAGTCAAGGAGCCTTATTCCTTCAGCTCTGTTTCTCTTTCTCAAGATTGCTTTTGCTACTCGGGATCTTTTGTGTTTCCATACAAATTGTAAAATTTTTTGTTCTAGTTCCTTGAAAAATGCCATTGGTAGTTTGATAGGGATTGCACTGAATCTGTAGATTGCTTTGGGTAGTATAATCATTTTTCTCCCAATCCAAGGACATGGTATATCTCTCCATCTGTTTGTATAGTCTTTGATTTCTTTCATCAGTGTCTTATAGTTTTCTGCATACAGGTCTTTTGTCTCAAGTAGGTTTATTCCTAGGTATTTCATTCTTTTTGTTGCAATGGTAAATGGGAGTGATTTCTTAATTTCTCTTTTGATTTTTCATTGTTAGTGTATA